GTTCTGCACACCCCTAATCTGTGGGTCCTGATTGAGTGTGACCCTACGGACGGGGGGTCCCTGACCGACTCTGGGAGGGAGAGGCGGTGGGCAATGCCCAGGGCCCCTGACCTGGGCAGGAGGCAGCCTTCCCTGGGGGGTTCTGGGAGCTAGCATTTGGTGGAGGCTTGGTCTGACTGCATAACAGCCCTGCCAGCCCAGGCTCAGAGGGGTTGCCCAGCACTTGGTCCTCTTCTGTGCCGGACCTGACCCCATCCCCCCAGTGTCATCGACCCCCAGATGTTGTATCGTGGGAGCGGTGGTGGGAGAGCTCAGGGACCGAGGGGCTGCCTGGCTCATCCCTTTTCCTTCTGAGCTTGCTCTGTTCTTTGCAAAGTAAGAATCACAATTCCACCTCCCCCCACAGGATTGAGGCAAGGGATTCAGGTGACACGCAGGGCACAGGGCCAAGCAGGTGGTGAGCGTGCATGCTGCTGGTCCCTGGGCCTTGCCTGCTCCTCCCCAGACATCTTCCGGGGTCACTCGCACCTCTGTCCCCCTGTTCCGAGGTCTCGCCGGGCCTTTCCCAAGTCTCTGACCCTCCCTGCCACCCTTCAGTCCTGAAGTTTTCTCCCCAGCACTTCTCACCTCCTCATCCACTGTATGGTTTTACTGTTGGCGTTTTGTCTCTGTGGTTCCCTGCTGTCTCCCCAGAACCTAGAACAGTGCCTGACTCGTAGCAGGTCTCAGTAAGTACCTGGTGTCTACACGCGGAGTCGGCCTGTGCGTCACACAGGGGCCAAAAGCCCCCAGGAGGCCCCGAACCAGCGGCCTTGTCCCTCCTGTGTGGTGCCCCGAATGGCGCCTGCGGAGGGATGACCGCTGGGGAGTTCCCTGCTCCTCTCCCCACCACACCCTAGCCTCACCGCCTCTGTCCACCTTACACACCTGCAGGCCTGGCCTCAGGAGGTGGGGACTCTCTTCCCTGTGGCCGTGAGGCTAAAGGGCCGGGTCTCCTTTCTGACCTCCCATGGAGGGCCCGCGTCCCCCAGCCTAGGGCCAGGCTGAGAGAACTGCCGGGGCTGCTCTGGCCAGGAACCCCTGGACTGCGTGTGTGTGTGTGTGTTTGTGTGCAGGGAGGCTGGGGGCTTGAGGCTAGGCAGAGAGGGCCTGGAAGAGCCTGGGCAAGGATTTTCTAACTGCTTCATGGACAGGCATGACCTGCCCTTGTATAACGGGTTCAGGGAGAGAGGGGCCCCGGGGTCTCTCTGGCCTCACCAGGACTTTGTACTGATCTCCCTGCCTCTCCCACCCTCCTCCCAGTGTCCAGAGGCCCAACATCGCATCCTTCCCACTCCCCGGTGAGGGGCACTCTCTGGCAGTGTGCTGTATGTCAGAGCTAATACATGAGAAAGGCAAAGGGAATCACTACTTTGGGGGCTCCAGCCGCTGTGACAAAATGAGACGGAGCGAGCGGGACTTCCCTGACCGTCCAGTGGTTAGGGCTCTGCGGTCTCACCGCCAAGGGCTCGGGTCCATCCAAGAAAAAGACAAAAGATGGAGCAAGAGAGCCAGCACAGCGCTCAGGACGGGCCCAGGGATGGGAAAGGCCAACAGAACAATCCATACCACGTGGCCCCTCTACGAAACACAAGACCTGGTTTTCTCTATGCACGTACACGAGAATTTAAAGGCATAAAAATAAGACTGGGATGAAAGGCTCCAAAGTGAAAACAGACTCCCTCTGGGGGCAGCAGGGAAATGCCCCTTCTTACTCATAGGCTTCTGTATTGTTTGAGGGTTTTTTCATGAGACTGTGTTCAGATGTTACTCACAAAATGACAAATAAAACTAATTTTTAAGTACAGAATACACGCATCCCGGGTCTCAGAGCACTTTCACATCCAGATCGGGGGGGCTGGGTCTCTCTGCCCCTGGGGACTGCCCCCACCATGACACTGAGCTTGTCCAACAGGCAGAGTTCCCTCACTTCCCCCGTCCTGTCCTTGAGGCACGAAAGGCACAGGCCACACTACGTAGTCGGCTGGACACAGACCCCACCCAGGCCACCTCGAACGTGCTGGGTCATCCCTTTGCCCCTCAGAGCCCTTATTTCCCCATCTGAAATACTTACATGATGATAACACCTGTGTCAGAACCATGGGGAGGGTGTTTTGGGGGGCATTCAGGGATACAGATCAAGGGAGACTCCCTTTTCCCTGACAGACTCAAATTAATCGTCTTTTTTAAAAAAAAACTCATCATTGAATGAAAGCTTGAGAACACTGATGATTCCATCCGAAGGGTTTTTCAGCAACAAAGTCCCTCGTTTTCTGCTTCAACATGCATTGAGGTGATGATACCAAATTATTTAAAGTAAAAACTATCGAAAGAACAAGGGAACTTTGCTTGAACCAAGTTGATTTTTAGAAAGTTTAACTCTTCTCTCTTGCTCACATCTCATAGTTAAAAAGTGATGTAGAAGACGAATTTTAAAAATTAATTGACTTAAGAGCTATGTGAAAAAAAAAAAAAGAATACGTTGAGGAATAACTTTTTACCACGTTGGTCTGATGGTGAAATTTCTCTTCTTAACAACTCCTAAGTTGTCCAGAGATTCGAGGCCTCCCACTTCCCTGTTTAGGAGGCGCAAGTGAAAAGGTTTGTCCTGAGCCAGGTGCCCGCACGCTCCATCGACACGTGTCCTGTTGTCTGCTCCGTCCTCAGCGCCTGGCTGTTCAGGCACATGGGAGGCACCCAGGAAACCTTTGTGTCAAACCTTTGAGCGTCTCCGCTTCTTCCTCAAGGTGGCCTGCACCAGAGTCCACGACCAGCAGCGCCACAACTCTCCCCCAGAGTCAGAGCAGCCACGGTGAGATGAGACAGAGGCCGGGGCAGCCCCTGTCAGTGATGGCTCAAGTAAATGATCCCAGACCTGGCTCCACCCTCACCCAGGAATAGGTTCCCCCTCCAGGCTCCCGACACCCAGCCCCCTCCACTGGGGTTAAAAGAGATGCCTGATGCAAGTAAGGGCCCTGGGGTAACAGGTAATAACAGCGTCCTTAGCGATGGCGATGGGGCGGGGATTGGGGCGCAGTCTTCCAGCCTCTCCGCCGCCCCTCTGCCCCATAGGAGGGCCTTCCCTGCCCTGACTCCTCTCCAGCTCCGGGTTCCCCACCCCCTCACCACACACCCACTCTCACACCCACACCCACCGCCCCAGACCCACTTCTCCTTTGCAGTTGCCCCACCGCCTACACCTTCCTGCCACGGAGTTGCTGGCCCGTAGGTAGGGGACGGAGAGGCAGTGGGCCAGGGCTCCCCAAGGCCGGCCAACTCAGGGTTCTGTGTGAGTCCTAGGGTCCCCGGAGCCAGAAACCTGGGGGCCGGCCTTGCTCCCCTCATTCCATGGCATCCCTCTTTCCTCCTAAACAGCTGCTGGCTCGTCCCCTGGCCCTAGGCTATGGTGCCAGCCTCCATGGTGCCAGCTCTGCTTACTTTGTCCAGTCTCCGACTCCACAGCAGCCGGGGAGAGGGTCCATTCTAAGGCACAGCTCAGAGAATCTCTCCCCCACTCAGACACCTCCTGGGCCCCTCACTGCCCGAGGCCTGCGGCTTGAGGCCTGGCCCTGCCCATCTGCAGCCTCCCCCTGAGGCAGTGGCCATGCCTGTTCCCAGAGCAAGCTTTCCCTTGCTCCTCTCTGTGCTTCTGCCCTTGCCCATCCCCTCTCTCTGCCTGGAAGGTTCCCCTCCCCCTTGAACGGCTAAAGATCTACTCCTACCCCTAAGCCCCCTCCCTGCCCCCGGGACAGTTACTCTTTCCTCTGTGCACCTCCAGCCCTGAGTGCTTAGGGGTCTGGTATGGCCCACCATGAGGCTCTAAGTCCGTGCTCCATGCTGAGGCTCTCTGCCAGCCCCTGCCCCCAGGGAGGGGGCAGCATATGTCCAGGAAGGTCGAGGGGGCTTGTGTGTCTGTCTGAGACTCAGTCTGAGAGACACAGGTGAGAGACAGGTGGGTCTGCCCCAAACACCAGAGAGTAGAGACAGACAGGAGGGGCCTCGGTGAGACACAGAGGCGAGAAAGCCTGGACACACACAGCCCTGAGAAAAAGGAGTCGGGTGGGTGAGCTGCCTCCTGCCTACTGGGCCTTGGTCTGTTCGTCTGTCTGTTCATCTGTGGATCTGAGTGTCCCTCCTGCTTAGGATCTGGAGACCGAGCTGTCCCTGAGCCTACCCCGTCTGTGCCCTCTACTCCAGCCAGTGGTTCCTCGCTAACCATAGTCAGGCAAATCTGACTATGACACGCCTTGCTTAAAGCCCTTCATGGCTCCCCAGTGCCTTTCCAGCTGGAGTCCCAGCTTCTCTCAGTCAAGGGCCTCTGGTCCCAGTACTCCCTGGCCTTCATATTTAGGCCCTTGCTCACACTGGGCGCTCCCCTAGACCTCACTCCACCTAGCAAACACCTTCTCATCATCTCCTCCACAAAGCTTTCCTGTCCCCTCCGTGGTGATCATCTTCATTGATGCCGCTGCCGTGAGGCATTGTCTCCCCCATCACCACCTCCAGTGTGGGAGTCGTCTGGGGCCTGGTACAATGTGGCCACTCAGGATGTGTTTGATGAACTGAGCAGCTCTGCCTGAGAAGGACAGGAGGGCTCCCCGAAGGAGGCAGGTGGGGGGGAGATGCCTGGTGAGCATGGTCTAGGACTCTGGGCTGACCTTGGGAAGCAGGACAGAGGAGGCCACCCAGAGGTCTGTGTCCCAATTAAGGGGCCCATCCTCTGCTCCCCAAGAGCAGGCCCTGGTTTGAGCCCCAGCCTCATCTCGGTGCCCAGCAGAGGGCCCGCCCAGTGGTTGTCTGGAGGTGATGGTTGAATGGAGAAACCACAGATAGAAGGTCTGGGGTGCCGGGGCCCTGGCTAAGAGTGGCCCCACCTGGTCCAACCCCAGCAGGCAGGAGGGCGGGGTGGGTGGTGGCCCTGCCCTGTTTCCTCCCCATGGGGCAACAGAGGCCAGACTCAGCCCCAGCGGGGTAGGCAGACAGGCATGGGCTTCGGCAGCATGAGGCGAGGGGCGAGGGGCCTGAGGGGCAGAGACAGGCCAGTCGCCCCGCAGTGCCTGCAGACCCAGTGCTTCGACCCGCTGGTTCGCAAATGCGTGGCCTGCAGCCTCCTCCGGACGACAGAGCCTAGACCAGGTAAGAGTTGAGCCGCGCTCATGTAAGGCACGCAGGGCGGCCCTGAAAGGAGAGGGAGGGTTCTGCCAGGAGGACCCCGCCCTACCAGAGTCACAGGCATGACCCCCACCTGTCCCAGGATGTCGGGGGGCATCGCGTTAACGGGCGGGGAGGGGGGCCTGTGGGCTGGGGCCTGGATGGGGACCAGCCATCGCCGCGTGGCCCTCACGGCCCCCTCTCTCCCCCTCCCCCTGCCCTGCCCCGTCCGGCTGTCCCTCCCCTCCGCGGCCCAGCCTCGCCTCCCTCCGACCCTCCCCCTCCCCGCTCGCCTCTCCCCTCTGCCCCGTGCTCTGCCTGCCCGTCCTCTCCAGCAGGTGGCCCGAGCAGTCTGGCGCCCGGGACGGCGCTGCAGCCGCAGGAGTCGGTGGGCCCGGGGGCCACGGCCGAGGCCGAGGCCGCGCTGCCGCTCCCGGCGCTGCTCTTCGGCGCCCCCGCGCTGCTGGGCCTGGCGCTGGCCCTGGTCCTGCTGGGCCTGGTGAGCTGGAGGCGCCGACGACGGCGGCCCGGCGCGGCGGCTGCCCCAGAGGCCCTGGAGGCCCCGGAGGCCCCGGACGGAGACCAGGATGGTAAGTTCCGCGTCTAGGGGAACCGAGAGGGCTGGGGGCCGTCGGAGGGGAGACATGGCCCTTGAGGGGCAGGGGCAGGGGCAGGGTAAAGGCGTGGGGGAGGTCTGAAGCGGAGGCAGGGCTCTAGGGGGTGATGCAGACAGAGGGGACGAAGAGTGCGCTCTGAGGGTCTCAGGCTGAACAGGGAGAAATAATCCTGTCCCAGACCCCGGTCCAGGCGAGGGACACAGCTCTGGCGTCCCAGACTTGTGTGAGGAAGAGACACAAGGCTGGGGAGCCCGGTCGAGGGAGGGGTCTGTCCTGCCCTCTCTCTGGACAGCCAGACTGGTTCCCACCCCTCCTCGCCCTCTCCCATTTTGCCAGCGCTCTCAGCACTTCCGGTCCTGAGGGCCGATCATGTGCCACCCTCCCCAGTCCCGCCAGTGGGGCTTCATCAACTGACTTCTCTCTCATAAGTCAGAGGGCTGTTCCTCCAGGGAGGCTTCCGGAACAGGGATGGGGGAAGGCTGTGACCCAATCCTGACCCTGCATTCCCTTCCCACCTCCCCAGAGCCCCTGGACAGTGACAACGTCCTCTCCCCGGGAACCCTGGATGCCACAGCTCCCATCTGGCTTCCGCCCAGTGAAGACCCAGCTACCACCCCACCTGCCCACAGCGTACCTGTGCCAGCCACAGAGCTGGGTTCCACTGAGCTGGTGACCACTAAGACGGCCGGTCCCGAGCAACCGTAGCGACGGAGGGGGCAGGAGGTGGTCCCTGCCCTCCCTGCGGGCCAACAGCCAGGGGCTTAGAGATTGAATTCGGTTCTTCACCCCAGCTCTCACCCATCCCTTTTCTGGGAACCATGCTGCTCCCCGGCTAACCCTGCAGAACCACAGGCACCGCAGACCACAGGGTTCAGACTGCATGGCATCGTATGGCATGTTAGCATTTGGCTTAAAATCATACCATCTATGGCAGCCCTCAAAGGTCGTGGCTGAGCTCTGTGCTTTCGAGTGGTTGGGGTACTCTGAGTAGGAGGTTTTTTTAAGCATGGGGAAGCCACCAGAAACCAGAATGAATCTAGGAAAATGATCGAGTGGGAGGATGCTTAATTTGTAGCTGGGTGTTGTATTTTTTTAATACTTGCTCTCAGAGCTGTCCTGCTTTTAAACTGATACAAATGGAAGCAATGGGTAACCAACTGACCTGTTTTCTTTGGGATTTAGTACAAGATGATTTTAAGAAAAAGCCTGAATTGTGCTGATTCTTTGGTATCTGTATCCTAGGGTCACCCCTGAGCTTGGCCCAATCTGCTAGGACCTATGATGCCATTTTCACCCTGGTGGCAGCTTCCAGAGCCCCAGGCTGTAGCCCTCCCTTCCCTTGGGAGGAAGCCCTCTCTTCCCTTGGGAGGAAGTCTACAGCCTCTGGAGCTGGACTGCAGATTCACACTGAAGGCACACGGACAGGCATCTCCATCAGAGACCACCTGGAATCCCAGCTGCCTCCAGGGCACACTGGGCTGTACACAGGGCAGGGCCCAGGACCTGCAAGAGGCTCCTTTGTTAGGAGGCCAGGGTAGGCCTCTGGCCTTGAACCAGCTGGACCTGATGTCCCTTGAGTGTCCTTCTCTTTGTGGCCTGTCCTCCCCAAGTGCTTGGGTCACTTGGCCACTCTGTGCCAGCCCCCTATGGTCACCCACCATCCCAGTGGAACTGTTCCTCTGACAGTGGTGCCCCTTGCCCTGGGGCCTGGAGCTGAGACCATCTCTTCCAGTTCCGGACCATCCTGTGCACTCAGTCAGTCGCTGACTCTCCTGCCAACCCTCCTACACAGGGACACAGGGTTAGAACCTCCTGACCTGGACTCCACCCTGGACAGTGTCCTTGGAATTTGTCACAGCTTAGCACCCTGGGAAGGCACGATGGACTGGGAATCAGCAGATGGGATTCTGAGTACCATTTTGTCCCACTTGTAGGTTCTTGACCATGTTCCTTTTTTTTTTTTTTTCCTTTGCCATGCTGCGCAGCTTATGAAATCTTAGTTCCCTGACCAGGGATTGAACCCAGGCCTTCGGCAGTGAGAGCTAGGAGTCCTAACCACTGGACCGCCAGGGAATTCCCATCTTGACCATGTTCTGTTCCGTGCATCAGTTGCTTTCTGCTCATCAAAGCTTCCCAGCAGACACCTGCCTTTCCTGCCCACCCCTTTCCCAGCTCAGAAGATAGTCAGCGGCCAGCAGTAGTTGGAGCCCCAGAACCTGGACTACCACATCTAAGTCTCTTCCTCTCCCTCCCAAACCCATCTCAGATGCCCCCTCCCCGCCCCCAGACCACCAGGTGGCTGAGGTGAGGTCAGTGTGCGGGCACAGGCAGGAGGGTGGGGAGCAGGCCCAGAACGGGCCCAGCTTTCCACTTCCCTCCATCTCAGGGTTGGGGGGCTCTGAGCTGTTCTCGGCCATCCGTCTCACCCCACCTTTTCTACCACAGCCAGGGGGTGGGCCCTGGAGGCGAAACAAGTGGGTGAACACCCCTGGGGTCCAGACACACAAACCTCTGGCACCACCGTGTCCCCAGTGAACCCCTAGTCCAGTCTCAGTTTCCTTTTCTGAAAAATGGTGGTGGGGGGTTGGACGCAAAGTTGTCCTCGTGGCCTGTGGCCCTCCAAGTAGGACTGGGAAGGCAACGTGGAGGATCCTCACTCCCCACCCCCATTTTACAGATAAGGAAACTGAGTCTCTTTCCCAGAAGGAGAGTCATTGCTTTAAAAAGGCCTTGACCTTTTTTAAGACCCCTGTTGGTCAAATTGCTTTCCTGAAAATCTGGACCAGTTCATGTCCATGAGCAGGGATGATATGGTGCATTTTGCAGATAGGGAAGAAGAGGCCCAGAGAGGTGAAGGGATCTGGCCCAAGATACAACAAGCAGCGGTGGAGCGGAGCTACACCCGGGCGCCTACCTGTCCAGAAATTCCCTGGCCCAGGTGCTCTCCTGGGGAGCATCAGACTCCAGGTGTTGATCCCAGGCTTTACTCCTTGTTTCTATCACTACTCAAAGATTTCCCTCCCCAACTGGTCTCTTTCTGCAGTAAGAGGGATCCACAATAGACTGGGAGAGCTGCTTGTTGGGATGGGAACTGAGGGAAGTAGCCCGCCTCCAACTAGCCTGTTTCTGGACAGTTTTTCCTGATGGAGGGTCAGGTGTCCCGGAGGTCCCCAGGGCCCCACGGTGGGGGGGGGCGGGGTTGGCTGAAGTCTCAGTTCCTCCTGGGGCTTCCTGCAGGCACGTCTCACTTCCTGCCCTGGCAGCCCTAGCTCCCGGCTCAGGCTGGGGGTGGGGAGGCCCAGCTGGTGAGGCCAGGGAGGAAGGACCTGACCCCTAACCTCCCTCTGTCTCGGCAAGGATGGCCCCCTTGCCTTTAGACGCTGTGGCATCTCTTTGGGCCTATCTCCCATATTCAAAACGGAGCCTGAGGACCAACAAGTTGTCCAAGATTAAAGAGGTCACGTGGAAAGTATGGTCTCTACCTCAGAAGTGCCTCTACTTCCTTCCTCCCCTGGAATGAAGACACCTTTCTGCCCAGGGCCCCCAACCCTTAGAAATTCCCTCTGGGAAGTGAGTTTCCCAGTGAGTTTCAGAGCCTGAGGCTCTGGTCTCAGGAGTTACCACTCCCATCGCTCATCTATTTACTGCACCGTTGATCACACCAGATGCCAGCACGCCTGCTTTGTGCCAGGACCATTCTGGTCAGTGCCAGGAGGTCAGCCTCAGACCCTGCCATTAGGTCCTATTCCAGTGGGAGAGACAGAGCGGGACACAATGACAGGACAGGGTGATCCCTGCCAGAGCCAGGGAATGACCCAAGCGGGGGAGTGACTAATTTTTTATATATATATATAAATTTATTTATTTATTTATCTTTGGCTGTGTTGGGCCTTCGTTGCTGCACGCAGGCTTTCTCTAGTTGTGGCGAGCAGGGCTACTCTTCCTTGCGGTGCGCGGGCTTCTCATTGCGATGGCTTCTCTTGTTGTGGCTCATGGGCTCTAGAGCGCAGGCTCAGTAGTTGTGGTGCAGGGGCTTAGTTGCGCTGTGTCATGTGGGATGTTCCCGGACCAGGGCTCAAACCCGTGTCCTCTGCAGGGAGATTCTTAACCACTGCGCCACCGGGGAAGTCCCGGGGGTGGGGGGTGGTGACTAATTTAGCATTTAGAGTGCTTTGGAGAGTAGGAGGTATGCCCTGAGTTCTGTGGAGTTTTCCTGCTGGAACAGAGCAGAGAAAGGGCATTCTTGGCCCAAGGAACTGTGTGCAAAGGTGCAGAGAAGAGGGGGCAGGAGGAGGGGCTGGAGACTTGGGCACTGTGGCCCCTGAGTGCCAGGTGAGGCTGTCAGAACCTTCCCTGTGGCCATTCTGCCCCCATGGCACACAGGGGCACCCACTTCAGGGAACCCAGTGCTCCTCCAGCCCCATCATTTGGTCTCACCCTTTCTGTCACCTCTGAGAAGCCACCAGACCCCTCTGGCCCTTCTCTGGGCACAAGGTGGGAGCTCACTCCCATTTGCTCTATTGTTGGTGGCTCAGGCCAAATTCTCCCTCACCCAGAACGGAAATTTGACCTCTCTCCAATCTGAGCCAGCTCCCCAGCTGCCTGATCCTGACCTGGGGGTGGGGAAGGGGGGGTTGGGGGGTAGGAACCACTGCCCAAGGTCACATGGAGAGTCGAGGAGAAGCCAGGAGGACACCCATGCCAGTGTTCCAGCCCATGCTCTTTCCGGGGACTCTGCAGGGGTCCCGGGGCCCAGTGGGCCTCTGAGCATCTCCTCACTCCCCTGAGCTGCAGAGACTCTGAGGACCAGCCCCGGGCGTCCTGCATGGATCTAGGACGGTGCCAGCGACTCCAGGGCAGGTGAAAGTCTATCTCGGCAGCTCCTGAGGTCAGCGAGACCGGTGGCACTTTGACCGCCAGCCTTCAGGCACCGGAAGGCGGGGCTGTGGGACGGAGTGGGTGGGGCCAGGGCTAGAGGCGCGGCGAGGGCGGGGTCAAGAGAGGTGGGGCTGAGGAACCCCGAGCCTCCAGGTAGCAGGAAAGGGGCGGAGTCAGGAGCATGTAGAAGGGGTGGGTTCAAGGCCCACCCGCAGGGAAAAAGGGAGGCCACGGATGAGAGGAGGCTACCAACTGTAGCCTCTCTAAACTCTGGACCACCGCGCTCACGCGGGGTCCCCATCCTCAAGCGAGGTCCGAGGACTGCGGCCCGAGCCAGGAGGGGTCCAAATGCAGGGCATGGCCCCGACTCTGGGGAGAGGTGGCCTCCCCCACTCCGTCCCCCGCCCTCCGGCTCCGGGCTCGGAGATGACCTCGGAGGTGTGTCCCAGGAATGGGCAGGCTAGTGGGTCAGGGAGCACCTGTCCCGGGTGGAGGCGCTGTACGGCCTCTGCCGAGCACCGTCCTCTCTGGGTCTGTTCTCGTGCTATGGTCTTGGTGGGCAGCTCCGGATTTGCACCTTCATTGGGTGATGCGGAATTAAGAAGGGAAGCTGAGCTCCAGTTCCCAGCACCACCACCCCGAACCCCCGCTCCCTCGCAACCTCAGGAGCCCGGGGGTACCCTCCCTCCCACAGGCAGCTGGAGCCTGAGTCACGAGCTGCCTCTCATGGAGACAAAGGAGCCTCAGGCCCTCCCCTCCAGACCCCGCTCCCAGTGCTGGCTTCGCATCTGCACTAGCAGGGAGTACATAGTCCCCTAGAATCTCTGCTTCTTGCGTAACCCTCCACCGTGGACAAAATAAAAGCAGGATGGGCTAGGGAATGAGGCCTTTGAGGCTTGTGGATGGCACCCACAGTGGCAATCACAATCTTAGCACCGCTGTGGCGGGGGCTCCCAAAAGGCTGCATGTTCCTGGATGTTTTTCATCCAGGGACCCATTGGCTTCTCCCTGCAGCCCTGCCAAAGAGGAGCTAGCAGCCCATCTTGCAGATGAGAAAACTGAGGCCTAGAAAGGTCGACTGGTCTTACTAGAGCAGGAATTCTAACCCATGTTAGTCTGGTTCCAAAATGAAGAATAAAGAGGAGCTCTCAGTGTGAGGGGCTGGAAAGGCCTTCCAGGAAGAAACAACCTGTTGGAAGGCCTGGCGGCTTATGGAGGAGTTGTCGTGTCAGGCGTTAGTCAGGCACTGGGTGTGCTGCTAGGGGGTAGGAACACTTGCCTGGCCTCTGGGCTGCGGTCCTCCAGCTGCTTTCTCTGTTTGTACTAAACTGGCCAAAAGGTAGGTTTGGGGCTCACAGGGCAGGTTCCAGGCCATACCCCAGCCCTTCCAGGCTGTGTGCCGGTCACAGCAAGTCATTTCTTCTCCCTGGGTCTTGGGTTTCTCTCTAGGAGGGCTGGGCAGACTGGTGACCTACCACCTAAGATCAGGACACTGAGGCCCAGGACAGGTTTTCCTTAATGTCCACAACCTCTCCTCTCAGGACCCTGAGCCAGAGCTGGACACCAGGCGAGAACTCAACAGTGAGGGAAGAACACATATGCAGAGGCATATCCACACTGACACACACATGTACACACATGTGCGGGGAAGGCTCTCATAGCTGTGCCAGCACCAGACATGCACACTCTCACTCATATTCGTGAGCACACTCAGACACCCGCACACTCCAGCTTTCGGAGCTGGGGGTGGGGCGGGTTCCCTTCATGAACAGAGACACGGCTCCTCTGCCCGCCACATGGGGCTCACTGCAGATGCCAGGGGTTATTTTAAGCCTGGATCAATGGATGATTTTTGGTGACACAGGCTTGGGGACGGCGGGCAGTGGAGATGAGGGGCTGGTGCTCTGGTGCCTTGCTTTGGAGAGAGACCCCAGGGTCCAGGGAGGGCAGCCTGGGCAAAGGGATCCCCCCTTAGCTGGACTGCTCCCTCTCTAGATCCCCTTGCCCAGCACATGGCTGGGCACCTGGGGGACAGTGTCAGCTGAATGAATGGCCAGACCCCAGGGCTCAGCCAGTTAGCTGCGGTCTGTCTTTGCATTTGCCCTCTCCTGCTTCCCCCACTGCAAGCCTATGTGTTCACGTGGAGAGGGCGTGGAGAGTGCATGGAGCACCTGGCACAGACCTGGTAGATGTGGGCATCTGTTGTTCCTGGCTGACCACTGAACAAGACTGAGATGGGGAGGATGGATGTGGGGAGGAGTTGGAGGTTGGACATCAATCCCTTGGGGGCACAGTGGAGGGGGCAGCTGAAAGCCAGCTCCTTCATTGGATAAATGGATATATATATCTCCTGACTGCAGTCAACTTGGGGTGGAAGCTGAGCAGAGCACCCAATGAATGCCAGGACAGTGGGGGCAAGAGAGGGGCCCAGGGAGGAAAGCATTGGAAGACTTGTCCTGGGCCCAGTAGGGTGATCCTACCTGGGAAGAAGCCACAGTCCCAGGGGGCAGCGACAAGCCTCTTTAAACCTAGTGCCCAGCAATAGGGTGGGAAAGTGGGGAGAAGCAGTCACTTTCCAAGACCCAGTAACACAGAGGACTGCTTGGCAGTGTGTGACGGGGGCACTGATACAGACTGGACAGTTTGTGCCGTGGTTCCCATGTCTAGGAACACCAGCCAAGGGAGCAGAAAAGGATGCACCAGAAAATACAGTTATAATATATAAATAAACAGAATAATAATCTGAAAGTTTGACAGCAAAAAGCAAACTAAAAACCAGTTACAAAACAGTATGTAAAGCCTCAGTTGTCCCTGGTGATGGGATTAAGGCAATTTCATTTTATCCCTTTGCTCATCTAGTTTCTTTTTTCTCTAAAATGGTAATAAAGTCTTTTAATGGGGTAGGGTCCTCCGGGCTGGGCGTGTTTGTGGGGGGAGGGGGGAGGAGCAGGCTGTCTCTGGCCAGAGCACAAGGAATCACCCTGATAGGGGAGGGCATTATAGGGAGGTCACCCGCCTTCCCGTTTTAGCCCTGAAATTAGCCTGTCAGCCCCTCATCTCATCAGCAGAAAACCTGATCCTCCTTTAAATGTAAATCCTTCTCCCTCTTTCTCCCTCCACCTCCTCCATTTTTATAAGCTGATCCCAGTTGCTGAGTGAAGAGAGGATGCAAGGGGGAGCAGGAAGGGCCCTAGGAGCCCAAATTCTTTATCTGAAACTAGAGACTGGAGTCACTTCACTTCATTCATTCAGCAAATACAGCAGAGGCCTGCCCTGTGTGGGAACATCGGGGAAGTGGTCCATGCAGCCCTTGCCCTCCTGACGCTCCCATCTAGACAGTGGGAGGCCCCGTATTGATCCCTGCCCCCCAGAACGGGCAGTTTTTGATGTTAAAATGAGAAACAGGCAGAGAAAAGCAAAGCACCCGGGATCGGGTCATATTCTCCAATTAAAACTAACTTCAAAAACACAGCCGAGGGCTTCCCTGGTGGCGCAGTGGTTGAGAGTCCGCCTGCCGATGCAGGGGACACGGGTTCGTGCCCCGGTCCGGGAAGATCCCACATGCCGCGGAGCGGCTGGGCCCGTGAGCCATGGCCGCTAGGCCTGTGCGTCCGGAGCCTGTGCTCCGCAACGGGAGAGGCCACAACGGTGAGAGGCCCGCGTGCCGCAAAATAAAAAAAACAAAACAAAAAAAAAAAAACACAGCCGAGTAGTGCTCCGAGTAGGTTCCATACCTGCCCTTCACCCTCTTCCCCCGGGCTTGAGAAAGGACCTGAGCATCCTGTGGGGACCAGGGCAAAGGGTCTGCCCATGGCTCTGCCCCCAGGCGACGCCCTGCTGTCCTCATACAAGGCAGGGGCTAAACCAATCTCCTCCCTTTCACACCTGGGGTGGCGGAGAGATCCGAGGAGGGCGCCGATCAGGTCAGGTCCATCGCCCATAGGCGTGGGGTCACCCCAGGACCCCAGCCCGGTGACTGATAAGTTCTTGGACCAGGGTGTGCGCCCCGGGGTTAAAGCTCCTCCCTAGGTGGCGCGGAGGGGACCCATACTTGGCCCTCTGCTGCGGCTCTGCTGGGAGTTTCCTTCCCACTTAACATTCCCTGCCTCAAGTCACACCTCTGTCTCGATCGGAACCGATGGAGGAGACGGGAAGGAAGGCGGGTGGGCAGCAACGACTCTCTGGGTCTGCTGGGTCCCTTCAGTCCCCGCACCTGTGAACCGAAGCGCTCCCGCGGCGGGCGTAATGTCCGAAGTAACAGTTTCGAGAGCCTTGAGCTGAACGCTCTGGAGCGCCAGTTCCGGGGAATGTTTGGGAGAGGCCTTCGGGGAGGGTCCCTGGTGGGGCACCCAGGCTGTGCGGGCCCTGCCGCGCCCCCTCCCTCCCGTCGCCTCGGCCGCGCTCCTCCCCCGGCTCTGCTTCCCTCCCGCCTGCCCCCCTTCCCCCCGCTCTCTCCCTCCCCCGCCCGCCCGAGGCCGCGCGGAGCCGGAGCCGCAGCCAGAGCGCGGGCAGCGCGGAGCGGGCGGCGGGAAGGCAGCCGTGTCCGGCGGCCCGCCGCCCCCGCTAGGCCCCAGACCCGCACACCCGCCGGGCCGGGGAGAGGCCGGGACCGAGCGCAGGCGAGGACCCGCCGCCCTGCCCGGGAGGAGTCCCAGGGCGTGGACTGGCTGGCTCGGGTCCGAGGTGAGGCTAGGCGCAGGACGCGCCCGCCGGAGGCGCGGCCCCGCGAGCCCACCCGGGTCTGGGGTCCTCTAAGGAGGCTGACGACCGAGGAGGTATCCGCCGGGAGCCAGCGCTAGGACGGCAGGGCGGGCTTGATCCCTACGGGCGCGGGCGAGCGGGCCCGGAGCGCGGCGGGAGGGAGCCGCGCCGCGCCGCCATGCGCCGGGTGCTGTAGCCGAAGGCGCGGGCCCGATGGAGCGGGCCTGGGCGCAGGGGCTGCGCGGAGGCCGCGGCCCGCCGGCGCTCGGGCTCGCGCTCGGGCTGGCTCTGCTGCTGGCGCGGCCGCCGTCGGGCAGCGCGGGGTCCCCCGAGGCGCAGGAGCCGGCGGCACCCGGCACGGCGGCCCCGGCCGGGGGCGACCGCTGCCGCGGCTACTACGACGTGATGGGGCAGTGGGACCCGCCCTTCAACTGCAGCTCGGGCGCCTACAACTTCTGCTGCGGCACGTGCGGCTACCGCTTCTGCTGCCACGACGGGCCGCGGCGCCTTGACCAGAGCCGCTGCTCCAACTACGACACGCCGGCCTGGGTTCAGACTGGTCGGCCTCCCGCGCGTGCCCGCGACGCCACGGTGCCCCGGGACCCGGGCCGCGAACGCAGCCACACGGTCGTCTACGCGGTGTGTGGCGTCGCCGCCCTGTTCGTGCTGGCCGGCATCGGGGCGCGCCTGGGCCTGGAGAGGGCGCACATACCGCGCGCGCGGCGCACCGTGACCAGGTGAGAGCGTGCCGGCCGGGGCCGGGGCCGTGGCCGGGGCCCGGGATCCCCTCCCAGCCCAGGGACAGGTGGCCTGCCAGGTGGGCGCCCCCTCGCGATCCTTCATCCTTCCCGCCCTTCTCCGAAACTCTGGTCCTCTCAGCAGCCCCTTCCTCCAGGTTTTCCCTCCCTGCTCTGTCTCCAGGTCTCTCTCTCCCCCCACCCCCACTTCACGGAGGGAGACAGCTGATACCGCTCTGTCTCCCCTTGACCTTCCGGCGGGAGCTGGGTGCTGGGCCGCCTTCCCCCGAGGCTCCCGCCTCCTCCGGAGTGGGCGGGGAAGGCAGGTTGCTCAACCGAGGGCACAAGATGCGCGCCTAGGGGAGGGGACCTGGGGCCCCCGAGCCCCACTAGCGCAGGGTGGAGGCGTGGGTCCCCAGGGAAGGGACATTTTCTATAGCTCTCTTGGCTCTCTCCCCACTTTTCCCTCCCTCCTCCCCTCCCACCCCGCATAGTTGTGACTCAGGCCTGACCTTATTTCCCTAGGGTTTTAGAAGGCCCCCCCACTCACCGCACTCAGTGCCCCCAGGCAGGGTCAGGGTATCCCCCTGTGTAGAAGCGGACCTGAAGTGTGTATGTGGTGGGGTACAGATTCGTTTTTGGTGAGGCCTGGACAGGTGTTAGCTGAGTTCTGAGTTTCATGTGATGTGGGGGCCACAGGACCCAGGTTCTCTTCCTCAGCTGGGATAGGGGCTCTGGGATTCTGTATCCTGACCCTGGAAGCCTCACCCACGCCCCCCCTGCCCCCGACACACTCACATGCCCCCAGCCACCCCTGTCCTGGGCCCTGCACCCTCCTCACTTGCTCACCCAGGTCCCCGCTCCCTTGGCTGTGTGGGCTGCTGACATGTGTACGACAGGCAGGCTGGTACTTAGAAGTGACAGTGGAGAGAGGCCCCCATGCCTGGGTGGGCTAGGTGTGGACGCTTCCCCACTCCTAGACCTCAAGGGCAAGAGGGCTTCCTTGGCACTCCACAGCATCCCTTGTCCCCCAGACCACTTAGGCCACCAGCTCCCAGACAGCTGTAGGGCAGAGCTGGGCCTGGAACCCTGGCCTCAGCTACTGTGCTGCATCCGTGATGTGCAATGTGGTGGCTCTCAGCCTGGGTCCTGGATGCTTCAGAAGCAGGGCCTGGGCTTCCTGAGCTTGGAGCCTCATGCTGGGTGAGGGGGGAGAGGACAGGGCCTGTTCTTGACCAGAGTGGGGCAGCAGGAACTGAGGGCCCTGATGGTGTAGAGGGGGTGGCTGGGGCAGCCTAGTGACTCGTTCACTGGAACCCACTTCATCCTCAGGGGACCGGGAAACAGGTCTAGTAATGCTTCAGGAAGAGCTGGACCACCCCTGATGTGCTGTGTGGCCCGGGCCAGTGCCTTCCTCTCTCTGGGCTTTAGGGTCCTGTGTGCCCTGACTCCTGCTTCTTATCTGGGGAGACCTGGAGCCTAACTTGAGTTTGTGTGTGGCTATGCTCTGAACCCCTGCCCTCCCCTCAAATCTCACCCTTAATTCTGCCGTGTTGAGGTTGATGGTCAGGGAAGGCTTCTCAGAGGGTTTGGTGAGGAGTCGGAGTCTGTCTTTGGAGAAAGTTTTTGCAAAGGTTCAGAGGCATGAAAATTGCTCAGGTGTTTGGGAGGGGCTGGTTGGTGACTGCTTGCTCGGAGATGAGACCACAGGTGTGGGCAGCTGAGGAGCGGGCAGGGCATGAAGGTCAACTCAGGCAGGCACTAGGAGATTTTCAGACCCTGCCACATTGCAGCCAAACTGCGCCCACCCCAGGTGTCCCACCTCCAGTGTGCTTCTTCATGAATCAGTCATTTGAGGCCCCAGCTCCAGGAGGGAGAGACCAAGCTAGGAGAAAATCATGGGTTCCGTGCTCTGAAGGCAGCTGGGCTGAAGGCTGGGTCTGGCTGTCTGTGGGGAAGGCTCAGTCGGATTCCATCACAGCTGGGTGGGGGCTGGGTGTCCTGGTAGTCAGGGAGGCGGCTGCCCAAGGTCACACAGCCTTTGGTGCGGGGCTGCCACTGCAGGTTCTCCTGGTTCCTCCTTCCCCTCATTTGTCTGTCCTCCATGCTTGTGCTGGCAGCTCTGTCCCAGAACCCAGCAGAAGCTCCTGCTGCAGGAGGGGCGTTAGGCAGGCAGGTAGGAAAGGCTTCCTGGTAGAGGAAGGGTTCTGGTGGGGTTTGAAGAATGAGTAGGAGTTTTCCCGGAGGAGATGGAGGAATGTAACTGATGCCAGAGGGAGTGGCACAAAGTCCAAGAGCCTGATACACTCACAGAGCTTGTGTTGGGAGAGGAGGCTCAGCATGGAGGGTCTGGGGGAGTGGACTCCAGAAAGGGGAGGAGGGGAGCCTTTGGAAAATAAGGTGGCCCTGGTTACACGTGACCCCATTGGTTTCCTGACCTACTCTGAGAACTGGCCATGTGGAGGCTACAGGTCGTGCCTGGGAGGGGAAACTGGATGTATGAGGTCAATCACAGGAGAGAAGGGAGGCCAGAGGGGTTGAAAGAGCTGCCCAGGGCCACACAGTGAGAAGCAATGGCTGGGGCTAGCCTTTGATAGACCAGACCTGGCTGATGGGGAAGCAGGAGGCGTGGAGGGCTGCTTGTCACCACTCTTTCCCCACAGGACACTGACAGAACTTCTGAAGCAGCCTGGCCCCCAGGAGCCACTGCCTCCACCTCTGGACCCACCTCTGGGTAGCTGTGTCCAGCTGCAGATGGGCGATGGCCTCCCCCGGGGCTCCCTCCACAAGAGCACAGGTGAGTAGACTAGCGGGAGGGTGTTTGTTGATCTACAGCACAGAGCCGCCCTTGTCTGAGGAGGGCCTGGGAGCAGGGGAAGGGGTGTGCTGAGGCTGTGAGCTGTTTCCCAAATAGAAGTGAGCCGCCTGCCTCTGCAGGTGTGTGAGTGGGCAGTGGGCAAGCTAGTCAGCTCCTCTTGTTGGCCAGGGTCCCTCGACGGGTCCTGCAACGTCCAGCCTCAGGGACTCTGTGAGGAAGGTTCTAGATTCGGGGATCCCCAGCTCACGCTCTGGGGTCTGCCTGGTTCTAGGCTCTGGCTCAGTGCCCTGGGGTCCGACTGGCCCACGGCTGTGGCCTCCTGTGGGCCTCTTCCTTCAGGCTGGTGCCTCCCTCTTGGACTCCTGCTGGTGAAGCGGGCTTGACAGCACCTCCCCTCCCCCCAGTATGGGTTCCAATCCTCAAATATTCTCTTCATCTCTGGGAGAAGCAGGTCCTGGGCCTCAGTGCCAGGCTCAAACGGAACGTGCTGGCAAGTCTTTTGTTAGATGAGCACCGCCTCAGGGCTGGCCGCTGTTACTCACGTTATTCTGAGCCAGGCCCTGTCCCAGGCACTGGAGAGTCTGTCTTCAAGAGTCAGGTTCTGCGCTCAGTCTCCAAGGCGTAAGTTCATAAGTCATCTCACAAGCTCTCATTGAATCGTAGCTGGGGAGTGGGCTGCGAAGAGGTGGTAGTGCAGGGGCAGGGTGACCTCCGGTCAGCGGGCCGAGTCTCATCTCCTCCCTCCCCCATCCAGACAAGAAACGCCCCATCAACGTGCCCCTGGCTTCGGCGACAGCGGGCCCCCCGCGCGCCCCGAGGCTGCAGGGCGGCGGCAGCCTGACGAGGCAGCCGGACTACGCCAAGTACGCCACCCTAAAGGCAGCCGCGCTCAAGGCCGCAGGTGAGTGGCCAGGTTTGTGCCCGGAGCGCCGGGCCCACCGCACCCGGGGTGTCCAAGCTCCAAGACTGCAGGGCTCGGGGTCCCAGTTCGAGTTCTAAAGTTCCCAGCTTCCGCATCGCGCCTACGCCAATCGGCTGCCACGCCTCGGCGGTTCCCCCCCCCCCACCCACCCCGATCAGGCCGCCTGTCTGGGACCCCGTCGCCGAATCCGGAGCCCCGGGCCTAGGAAGCCCTAGTCTCCAGCGGCCTGTCCCCGCCCTACCCCCTCCCCGGTGGGGCTGAGACCCAGGCCCCTGCAGACTGTCCCAGCCGGGAGGCTCTGAGGCCCCGCCCCCGGAGCCTGACCACGCCCCCGACCCACGCCCATCTGTCCCCGCAGAGGCCTCCCCGCGGGACTTCTACCAGCGTTTTCCCGCGACTGAAGCTGCCCCGCCGACCCTCCCGGCACGAGCCCGGAGGCCCCCCGAGGACTTGCCTGCACTGCTCGACGCCTGCCCCTGGGCCCCGCCGGGCTACGTGCCCCCCGCCGGCCCCACCCCATCGGGCCACTACAAGGCCTGGACGGACGGCCGCCCGGCCCAGCCCGCCCCCCGCGGCCACCTGGCGGCTCATGCCTCCTCAGCGCCCCGGAGGCCCGGCGACGCACCCCGGCGCCAGTTCAGCGTGGAGAAGCTGCCCGAGGCCTTCAGCCCGCAGCCCCCTGGCCTTTATGGCCGCGCCAGCCGCGGACCCAGGCACCTGAGCACCAACAGCAAAGCCGAGATCACCGTGTGAAGAAGGGGCCGCTGGTTCTGAGGCACTGCACTGCCAGGAGCCCTCTTCTGCCTGGGGGACTCGCCATGGGCTTGATCGGGGGGCCAGGCTACCGGAAGGAGGGGTGCTGGCCATGAAGGCCAGCCCACTGGACTAGGAGCCTCGGAGCCTGCAGGGCTCCTGGGCCCACTTGGGTAAAGCCAGTGGTTCTGTCCTGGGGGCCTTAGGGCCCGGGTTCCTTGTGTAAATAAACCCTTTTCTGTGACTCCCAACCCTGAGAATAAAGGAGCCCCAGCTTGGCTCTGCGAGGCACTGATGGCGGAGGTACTGGTCATTGACGGGACAGACGGCAGTGCCGGCAGAGGGCACAGCATGTGCAAGAGCAGAGGACTGCTCCTGAAAGCTGGTGGGCAAGGGTTCTGGGAGCCAGTGAGAAGTAGCTGGAGAGAGTGGTCAGGGCTGAATGCCAGGCTTAATGTCCACACCAGTAGGAGCCACGGGAGAGGGCGCAGTTAGGCCCCAGCCATCTTGAGGCTGGGCACGGGAGAGGGCTGGTGGGCTCCTGAGGGTCCATGCCCCTTAATGGAGGTGAGCCCCTTCCAGCCGGTCACCTGCTCTACAGCTTGAGTTGGCTGAGCCTGGCTGATCCTCATTGACATTTTCTGGCCCTGGGCCGGCCCCTGGGCTGTTGGCCACTTGGCCAGTCTGGCCGAGGGCCACCCCCCTGATGACTGTGGGCTGTGGGCCGAGTAGACAGCTGGTACTCAGGATGGGGGAGCCTCTTCCCGGTGGCTGCTCTGGGGGAAAACAGGGATGGGGATGCTGGACCCAGAGCCTTGGCAGTGCCCCCACCAGGGTGCTTACCCCACTAATGCTTGGAACTGCCAGCTCTGCCCCTTCCTGCCAGGCAGGTTCCCAGCACCTGGCCATGGCCCAGGGCATTGCCAACAGCCTGCGTGCATCAGGTTTGTCTGTGACAGGCACTGATGGGGAGCCTGAGGGCTGGGTTATGTGTGTGACCCCATTGTGTGACCTCAACAAAGTTTCCCTCGTGTGTATCCTAGGCACACGGTACACTGTTTTAATAACAGTGGCCACCATTTGCTGCTATTTCTTCCATTTAATCCTCACAAAAGCCTAGTGGGTGTGTGGCTTTTCAGAAGAGGAAACTGAGGTCCTGAGACCTAAGTAACTTGCCAAGGTCACCCAACTGACTCCAGTTTAGGACTCTTCCGTATTCTGCAACCACTGTGAATCTGGTGGTGGGATGGCAGCAGCAGTCAGTGTGGGGGAGGAGGGAAGGTTGTGTGTTGGCAGAGGGGCCCTTGCTCCCAGGGTACAGGGAGTCTCAGGCCTTCCTCCTGCTGGCTGGGCTGCCCTGAGGCCCCCAAATCCACCAGCTCTTCACCCATAGGAGGGTCCACCTTGCTGTTTCTTCCGTCCGTTGAGGAAATCAAGGCCCAGAAGCCCGCGGGCAGAACAGAGCCCAAAGCCCATGTTCATGCCTGCAGTGAGAACCCCCATGGCTTACAGGGAAGGCAGCCCTCACACCCTCAACCCAGGATGGGGTTGCCCCCGGGACTCTCCTGCAGCCGTACAGATACGGCTGGGGGAGGGGGGTGGGTGCTGAGCCATGGATCCTGCAGAGACTCACAAAAGGACTGGGTTCCTGGGCACGTATCAGCCACCCATGGCCACCCACCCTGGTGACATAGGCCCTGGCTAGGCTATGCTGGGAGGTGGGCGTGACCTCTTGGTTCATTCTCAGTCCCAAGGGCCCTGGATCTACATCCCAGGGGGCCAGGCCTCCACTGAAAACGCTGCTGTAATAACTGTGGACAAGGACCAGCTACAGCTGCCAGCCCTGCCCCGGGCTGCTCTGGCCCGTGGGACGGTATGGTCTGCTGTACTGCCCTTCAGAGAACGGAGTGGCTTCGGGAGCTGAAGGGACTTGGTCCATTTCTCAGCTGGGCCAGGTCATGGACCATGCACTTCAGCCCCCAGGCTTATCCTGATGTGGCACTGCTGACCCCGCCTCCCCACAGGGCCCAGCACTCCCCCATCCCAGCCCTCCTTGTGGTCCAGCCCCTCACCAGCCTCACTAGGCCCTCACCATAAACTGGCACTTCATGTGTGCTGTGTCGCTCAAACTGGCCAACAGCCTATGGGGACTTCGTCAAACGCAGGGACTGTCAGCCCCATTCTGCACACATGGAAGTGGAAGCTGAGGTGATGCGTGCGCCCTCCCCGCCCCACGCAAGGGGACCCAGCTGGCAAGTACAGGAGCTGGACTTGGATGTGACTTGCAGGCCACATCCTCAGAAGCTCACTGCCTCCCGGGAGACGGGGAAACCAAGGTGTGGCCCACCCAATAGGGGAGAGGTTCCTCTCTGAGGGGTGAACACAGAAGGGCTTAGCATCCCAAATCCCAAAAAACCCTGCTGTCCCCTAAACAGCCAGCTCTGTGTCCTGCATACAGTGACCTCTGACCCCAGCAACACCAATACCCCTTTTATCCCAGGTCTGTCCCAGCCCTGGAGTGTGAGCCAGGCAGCCGGCATTGGGAGGAAGGGGCCAGGTGCATGGGCAGGCAAGGAAGGTCCATCAGATTGAAGCCCCCTGGGGCCTCTCAGCAGAGAGGGAATGGCTATCCTCAGTTCTGACCCACTGGAGGCCGAGCCATGCAGTCACCACAGCGGTCGTGCCACAGACCCTCACACGCCTCACGCTGGGTGGTACCAATCTGTGTTTATTCAATAACCTACATCCAGGACACAGTGAATGATTCCACATCAAGGAAGCCATAGGTGTATCCCCCTGTTCAGTGAAAAAACAACCCCCCCACCCCTAAACGAGAATGAGAAAAGGCACAGTATATACACATGACACAAAGGCTGGCTCACCCAGTGGGCCGGGGCCATAAATTACAGTTGTGGGGGGGGAGGTGGGCAGGAGAGAGAAAAAGTGGGTGAGGTCCAAGCTGACTTCCAGCCTGCACTTGGCCAGAGGAGCCCCTCCCTGCTGTGTACCCCCATCTGTGCTGGGGTCCCAGCCCACTTTCTGCCCCAACCAGCCTGAGTGGGTGAGAAGCACAGGGAGGGAGGGAGGGAGGGCAGCCCCTCTCAGCCTCCCAGCAGGCCCCCGGGTACCAGGCAGCCCTCAGGTCCCAGGAGAAATGGCCTCCGGGTAGGCACCAAGCCAAGGGATCCAGAAAAGTGGGACCACTTCTCCTTCCAGGCCCCCCCCCTCAAGGAAGGGGGCTTCATTCCTAGTGCGCACCTTGGGCAACACTGGGCCCACCCTGAAAAGGGGCTTGTCACTGGGGAGGGGTTGGGGTCTGGTCCCTGCCACCCTGGCTTATTTTCAGGTCAAGAATTAGGGATAAAAACAGACTATGGAGGTAGGAGTTGGGGTGACAGGGAGCTGAGAACCCATGAAGGCCCCTGGTCCCCAGTCCTTAATGGGTGGCTTCATCTTTCCCAACCCCCTGGGACTAACCCAAGGTTGGGCTGACATCCCAGGGGGCGGGGGAGTGGGAAGGAACAGGACACTTAAATAAGATACCGTTTATTTTTTAAAAAATTAAAAAATTATGCCGACATTATTTCATCCATCCCCAGGTCTGCCCCCTACCTCCCACCCACCTCCCAAGGGCTGGGCTCCCTCCTTCCCTGGCTCGTGTGTAGTAAAGAGAAAACAATGGACTGGCTTTGTTAGGCACAGGGGAGGGGACGCAGACCCAGGGAGAGAAAGAAAGATGCCACAGCAACTTAGCCCTGCATCACAGCAACCCCAAGCACACTGATATAAAAACATTCGTATAAAAAGGGGGGGCGTGCTGGGCACAGTGCCAAGGGTGAAGCGCTCTGGTGCCCAGAGACCTAAGTCCCCCAGAGGGAAAGCCTGATAAACAACAAGGAAGCAGGAAAAGGCGGGGAGATGTTCACAGGAGAGAGTGTGGGAGGGCTGGAGGTGGGGCCGGGCAGCTTGGGAGCTCCCCCTGCCGCTTCCACGTCAGGGCGCCCCCACCTCCTGCCCCGCCCTGACTTTCCTCTCTCAGGCCCACTGGGGCCTGGACTGTGGGCATCTATCCACAGCAGCTTTAAGGGGCTCTGCCCAAGGGGCCCACTAGCCTGAGGTGGTCCAAAAGCCTTAGCAGGTGACAGCTCAGAAGCCACGGCTCATCCCACAGCTCCCAGAGGGAGGAGGGAGACTGGGAGGCAGAGGAGGAGGGAGAGGAACACAGACAGGGGGAGGAGGGAGGGAGAGACTGAGAGGCAGAGGGAAGTGGTGGCCGAGGTGGGCAGAGCCGGGGGTCAGGAGGCAGCGACGGCAGCGCCGCCCCCCAGCTTGACCATCATCTGCTGGCAGTCGCTGCACGAGCGCCGGTCGCCCACCTTCTCCAGGGCGCGGGCGGCCTCGGCCAGCAGCACCGCCCGCTGGCCCGGGGAGGAGAGGAAGGAGAGGGGCAGGTGGCGGCAGGCCAGCAGGATGGCGGTGGCCCGCTCTCGCTGGCCGGGCCAGGCGTCCGCCTCTCCTGTGGGAACGATGAGACACGCACTCGCTGAGATGAGAGCCCGCCAGGACGCAGGCGCTGTTCCCAGGGCTCGGTGTGCGCTGGTTTATTTAATCCTCACACCCTCCAAGTGAGGGAGGTTCCAGTGCCCTGCCTAGTTCACAGAGATGAGCTGAACCCGCGGTGCCACAGGCTATTACTCCGAGGCGGGGCCGAGGTGTGGCCTATCAGCGCAGCCGTCCCCTCCTCACTCGGAGTTGGACGCGTGACAACGCGACCAAGGCTGTCCCAGCCCCACAGCACCTCATGGACCCTCCCCCGGCACCCACCAAATCAAGCCTCGGGTTTCCTCGGTTCTCCCTGCAGATGCCGAGGGCAGGGCAGGGCTGGGCTCCTCCCCCGTTTCCCCGCCCCTCCCCAGGCAAGGCCCGCCCAGGCCGTGGCGCAGGGTGCTGGTGGGCTCACCATGCTTGGCGTTCTGAGCGGTGCGCCGTCGCAGGCTGTGCTCCAGCAGCTGGTGGGTACGGGTGGGGCTGGCCCCCGCCATCAGACGCACGGTGGCTTCATGCAGGAACACCTGGGAGGTGCAGGGGGACACAAGCCGGGGGTCCTCACCTGTCTGTGCCCCAGTAGGTCTCTCTCCCTGCAGCATCTCGTCTGCCACCCGAAGGCACCCCTTCTCCTCTCCACAACACCCTGCCCTGCTCACCCCTTGAAAGCAACCTCTCTCGTCCTCACTCTGACCCCCGACACAAGCCAGGCAGGAAAGGGGAACACAGCACAGGCCACCTGGTGG